GCAAATTACGCAATAAAATGGGTTGTTTTAATTAGTCAATTCGGATGATGCGACGTATGACGCGCTCAGTGAGAACGCATCCTTAATGTTTAAAATGCTTATTGATGTAGAGTAAATTGATTGATGAAATATTTTTCGTGTTATTTAGATTAGACAACTATATTAAACATCTATTTAGACGTCTATGACTTATTTACTTAAATAATTTTATCTAAATTAATGCTTAAATTTTAATTTTTACATTGAACTAAACAAAATTGTATTGTCAAAATATGTTTCATTTTTCATATAGCATAACAGCAAATGTCCAAAAGTGGATTATAAGATATTTTTAAGACACGTTATGGTATGATGTCTGAAAGACATCATATGTTTAAATAATGTTGTCATGGAAGAAATTTTACAATGTGTTGCTTTTTTCATTTTATCTTGCACAATTTTTTACTTACAAGAAATGGAATTTTGCATATCGTATATCTGGCCATAATGTATACTGCATACTGCTCGTTGGTGAGCGATATTGATGAAGAGTTAGTTTAAAGGTCAATATATGTATATATATATCTATGGTTATCTTCTTCTTACGAATCGTAAGACGCTCGTTAGTACGCTCGTTAGCTGTCTTAATCTGATCGTAGTTGACTCAACTTTAACTTTACGATTACGATGTTTGTTTTCATACACAGAAAGAACTTTTGCTAAATCTAGATCTGAAAATAATTTTTGTTCAATAGTCAAAATTATTTTGTGCGAAAGTCAAAATGATTGCTAGAATATTAAAACGTTTTATAGCTATACTTATTAGTTTTAACATTCCAAAAAATTATTTTCAGATTTGTTTTTAGTAAAATTTTTTGTCTTTCAACAAAACCGTTCTTTCCGTGTACGATAGCCAATGAGAATGCAGTCTTTTCGAAGCACGTACGAGAGAAAGAGTGTCTATAAATTGGCAGTATCTTGTGCAAATGATATGTTACCTCTTTTTGTGATTATATTATTTTTAAGTGTAAGAAAAATGAAGAACTGCGACAGTAATCAAGACTGCGATGATATCAAACATGATATCAAAGTAGAGAATGTATTTTCTGATCTAGTCAAGTTAAGTTTGTGCAAGAATAACTACTTTTGTGCAATCAAAGACATTCTGTTAAAAAGAATTGTATTACTAATACTGCAATACACGTAATAATTAATTTGTCCGTCCATAAATCAAAACGGTACATATACTATATATTCCCTACTTGACCTAACAATTTATTTTGCTATTATTTACTTGTATTGCGATTTTATGTAGACAGACAATGCTTATGACATTTATTTTTCTTGCGATTACGATCACTTACAGTCGCAGCGTTACGATATAGATCGATATATCACTCTTAAATAGACGTTTAATAGTCGTCTGTCTTACTTGGGTGGTGTCTTTTTAAGATAAGAGATGAAAATAGCGTTATTAGTTATTTTTTAACTTATAGCTGTGCTCGGGAAGCGCTTTATCAACGCTATTATGTCATTTTATGTTTATTGTTAATTTTGCGTAAATTTATAACAAAATTATAATACAACAGCGCTGACAGTATGTCCCCCAAATGCAACCTAGGCTGCATACAGCGGGGTAATTTTGATCATACATTGATATAATAAAATGTAGTTTAAAATTTCCTATTTTTCTGAAATTCTTGCAAATGCTTACTGTTATTCAAATTAGCTCACTATTCAAATTACTCCGCTGTACCCTATATATTTATTAAAAAAAACATTACTTATACACGCAGTAAAAATAAAATTTTTAAATATTTTGAAAAGTTGTTGAATTACGCTTGGTATAAAATCAACCAGAATATGCATACAGCATATTTTTTTATTTAACTTCTAAAAAATTAATTGCATTTATAAATTTGTTTTATAAGATATTATGTACATCGAATTCTATTAATTGTTACAATTAAAATATTTTTGCATATTTTTCTTATACTTGTAGAATATTTTGTTTGTATTTCACATTTTTTGCTAATTTACAGGTCGAACGTGACACAATCGAGCTTAGAACAATTAACAATAAGGCACTATCTAGTGCCTTAGAACAACCAACTGGCATCGCGGAAAAGAGGCAATAATAAATTCGACTCAGCCACAACTTCAACACGGATTTTATATTAATGGATTCCAGGAACGTTCGACAGGATAATTTCTTACAGGACATAAAGCAAGCAATTGTTGTAAGTCGCTACTTACAACCAATCAGATGTCAAAATACACACGCAGCAACTCAAATGTGGAGCGACCCACATTTGAGTCAGCACCCTACTTTAAATTAGAACTTTAATGTGGGGTATACGCAATAATCACGCCACGATTATTACATATAAAATGCCGACAACACATTTCGACATCTCGCCTCATCCTCAATTCCATCGTATAATCCGACAGAACAAAGGATCAAGCAGAGTGTTTCATCGTAACGAAGAGTATTAACGTGCTACGTATAGAGCAACCGAGACGGGCACGCTAGTGCGCGGAACTTGAATCGTTAAGAAAGAGCTTGTAAAGATCGGTAAGAATAAACCATTTTTCTGGCAACTACACCTTGTCAGCGTTTCTCTCTACGTTTACCCGCCCTGCGGTCACAACACTGGTGTCAAAAGGGATCTCTGAAAGCTAGTAGGAGATCCAGTGAAACGACACGCCCAGGAATCCGTAAGCCACCTCAGTACCTCACTCACGATACAAACTACAAAGCGTTAAAATACGCTGGACCGTTCGCTACCATTACACGGGGTAAGTCATATGTCTGTAAGACCTACATAAGCGAGACAACGGTCAAAGACGCGTGACGATAAAGTCGCCAAAAAAACACTCTGCGTCCGAAACGACTGACGATACGTAAAAGCCTGCGATACATCAACGGTCAACGTCTGAAGCTGCCAGAAGTAAGCAGCCAGAGATGACTTACCGCAATGCGTAACGCCGATAAGCCACCGTAGCCACCCGAGAGCGCCAAGAGCCACGAGCCAGCCGCCGAACGGAAGGACACAGAGCGAAAAAAAATGCGAGCGATACTTTTAATGTAAATCAAACGACTATAGTTTATATATAATAATAATAATTAGCAGGGGCCGAATGTCCTACGATCGAAATAAGTCGCGCCGAGAAACTCTCGATAGAACGTGGCCGTTTCACAGAATTGCCACACATGCAAACCTGCTAACTTCATACGGGATAGGATGTGTTGCCATCGTTCTTCTGTTAAATAATCTTATTTTTGTTTGAGTCTGTAGAAACGCAATATAAATACGAATGTCATGACTCAGCACAATATGTTATTGTTATAATGAGTCATAACATTCATAGTTATATCGCGTTTCTACAAACTCAAACAAAAATAAGATTATAACAAAAGAACGATGAAAAAAATCCCACAAATTCCAAAGAACATTGACGGTTCCCACACAAATAACCGATGGAGAACAGGAAATTCTAATGTGGAGCAACCAACAGAGAGGCGAGCGAGTACAACCGATTAATTGTGAAATTATTAATTGAAACACTGATGATGAACGTCGTTAAGAGGACGAAACGTTTATCCGTTAAAAGACAATATTGTTATTAAAATGTTAAATTAATGTCAAATATATTGATTCGATATTTATAAAATATGTTAGGGCGAAATTATTGTTTTGTTGAAAGCGCGACGTGCATTAACTTCTTATTTTGCTGTTTATGTGGGGCATAATGAGGTACCGCATAAAATTTGTTTATGTTTTTTAAAAATTAATATTAAACATTTTTTTAAAGTGACATAGATCACGTAGAAAAATACACGTAGAAAAACATTACAATATTACATTACTCATTTAATAGCAGAAATTAATAATATATATTACGTACTACTTCATTGTTACTTTTAATAACCGTCTACTAATGCCCCATTATACCTCGTATATAAATTTACTTTAGATAAATATAAAATATCACAGCTCAGTGACACTACAAAAATTATTTTTCTATATGTTTAAAACACATATACATAGATATGTACAATTTGATGTAGTACGCATAACTTGCAAATTTGTATAATAATTGCGTTTTTGTGTTTCTATTTCAGAACGATGAATCGATAGCTCGTATCTCCCCGTACCTCCGTCCAAAAATAAACTATTTTAACAAAGGAATAACCGTTTATGACTAACGTATAGAACGTTTACTCAAAACTCAAAATGTAGATAGAAGACAAATAGGGGAAAATTGTTGACTTAAAAGATATATACGTTTTATATGTATATTAATTACAAAATTAATTAGTATTTCAGATATTAATAAAGTAAGAAATATAAACATTTCAATTAAACAAATTAATTCTTATTTCAACGTTAAGTTACAATTACTACAAATCTTTTTTAATATTATTGTAATTGATATCCACGTAATCATTTCGGTCTTCTCTGTTATGTTCGTGCCAAAAGCCGAGGACGTGCATAAGCTCATGTACCGCAGTAACCACCCTAATTAAATTTAGACAATTAGGAGTCTGAAAGTTCACTATTTGTCTACCGCCTTTTTTGCCAATGCAGCTAAAGCATCCAGTACGATTATTTAGAATGTTTATATAATCGCTTTCGTTTGTCCTCTTTTTAAATTGTATGCGTTTTTTTATGATATTCGTTTATCACAGCTATAAATTGTGTAACATCCAACTGAGACTTATCTGCAATACAAAGTTATAAACAGAAATTATATAAATTAATACCAAATTGGTATAATTTGCACAATAAAAACGTTATCTGTTATACGGTCAAGTATATATACTTAATTTTTTCTTTAATGTTTTATTTATTTCATTTATTATTTCAATATATATTTTGCCATTGAATAAAATCATAGGTTAATTATAATAACGCGTTATTATTTTATTTTATTTTATATTTATTTGTGTAAGTTAGGAATATTATGTTAGAAATATTAGAAATATTATTATACATATGTAGAAGAACCTACAGGGCATAATGTTACAAACATTAAATGAATATTTTGAAATATAGCTTTTATATGAATTTTACCAACGATTTTATTTAATATTTTATAAATGTTTTAAAAATATTAATAATTATAATATTTCTGAGTATTTAAAAATATTTTTAATACATTATTCTAAATATTTTATAAATGTTGCACTTATAGTAATATTAGTGCATTTATTTGCAATAATACATTTCACTTTCATACATTATTGAAACTTCTAGATAGAGGTTTATAATAATGTTATATACTTTTAACATTAAAAACTGTTACGTCGTGAGGACTCCACGATTTTTTTCTTTCGTGGAAAACATCAAAA